CGGGAAGGAGGACACGAGGAGGAGGCAAAGTTTACAGATAGGACATCCTTGCTTTCCGAACCAGCTTCTCTTAACTTGACCTCATCTACAACACAATCAAACAGGGCCTTGACACAGGTCCCCTCTCTGCCATGGGAACTACCATGCCTTAGCAATCCTGTAGGTGAACAGACAGAAAACAGACAGGATTCTTTTAACATACTGTATGATTTTCCACCATCAACCGGCTGTCCAACAATCACTTTATGTAATATATAACCACTCAATATCAGTAGACACCAGCAGTAACTGGCAGCGCAGCTAGCTCTATGCCCCTGCCAGGCATGGTCAAAACATACTGTAGCTCTCAGCCACGAGGAACGTGTTACACCCAAACCTTCCTCACCCGCTTCACAAGGCAGTCACCTACACACTGTAGATAAAGATCCACAGCAATTTCTCATTTTATCTACAGGTTTTCATCGTCCAGTAGGTGTATAATGATTATTAATGCATTGAAGTGCTTGGTCAATCATCTTAACACAATCGAATTAGAGAGGCATCTGATAACAATCATGCAAATGCTCATATAAATATCGCAATAGGAATAATACCAGTCCACAACGTCTGTATGCACAGCATGTTCCAATATGAGTATAGAAAGAAAACAACCAACTGCCTTGTTACACTTTTCTGTGCTATTTCACTAGACAATTCTGTCAGAAGATACAGAGACCTCCTCGTCGTAACCCAGACTTGGCTGTACAGCCAACTTACCGCAGTCAGCAACCCGCATACGGTCAGGACTGCTAGCTTAATAACGACAGATACCCAGTAATTAGTGTTAATTTATTGGATGAGAAGGTAGTTGCCGCGTACTACTGTCTCATTGAGTACAACCAGCCCTGCTATCGATCCATCCTGCATCACAGATTGGAGAAACAATGACAACACTACTTCCACGAACCATGAAAACACGCACACAACCTCATTGGCCAGAGTAGTCATTGTGAAGTAAAAATGGTCACCTGTCACACATACGAACACACATGGTATACACAATAAAATCTCAAAATTACTGTAATGAAAAAAGACGGTTCCCCAAGAGAGAAAATATATACAGGAAAAGATGCAAGGGACCCATTTGAAAGATTTCCAAGAGTAGCGAGAGGAACCAGCCATTGCTTCTGCATCATCTGAAGTTAACCAACTGAATTCCAATCACAAGAATGTTATACATACCACGCTCTTGCTATCTATGCTGATAGCCATTATGGTTTCACCCTCTTCAACACTCCAACATATTCCACTCCCCACAGAACTGGCCACTATCATACTGCTCGTCATCTCCTATTTTAGTCACTCTCTTCTGTCTCTGAGGGCACCCCCACTATATTGCTATTATAAATGTAACCTTCTATACTCTATCACATCATCATGAGCAGTAGCCTGCCTTACGACCGCTACACACCAACCAGCCCTCAGCACATCCTGCCAGAATAGCTCACTTTGGCGATTCCGGCACTGCAGATAACAAAACCTGAACCAGCACTCGCTGCAGGCTATTCTTCTACATTGTCTGTTTCCACATGTCGCTCCACATTCACTCTTCTCCATTCACCATAGAAGGGTCATATAGCTTGCCCATCCACCCCATCCAGGTGAGTCAACCCACATATACACGTCACCTAGAAAATGAAGCAGCCACACATTGCTGTCACAAGACAGCTGAGTACCATTGTTTAACGTAACATAAGATCCCTAGTGCACACTTGCTCAGAGATAGAAAATTTAGAAACAAATAACATCATACAGACATATAACTTGGTACAGTCGGAACTTTAACATCAGCAACACCTCTCTGCATAATTAGCACACCAGTCCATATCGGTAAGGTCCGACCTTAACACATATTGTCCTCCAACTCCTGCATGATACTACCAATGTGTATATTATAACTGGTACACTCACCTGTTCCTTTGAATTTCCATAAAACAAACAACGCAAAAAACAAAAACAACAAACATTAATCGAAAGTATTATGTAGCTATTCCATTACAACATGTGGTCCCCAGGCTATTGCGCACATGATAGGAAAGTATCTTGCTGAGGGGCTAAGGGACGGCGCGTAACGCAGTACAACATGCACTCAGTACTATTAATACAGATAATGGCACACCAATTTTATCCCTACAAGCACGTGGAGAACTTGAAAACCTTGGGATACATACCTGCGGGTCCTGCGTACTAGACTAGCCAAGTATGACTTATCACGACGACAGTACTCGAGGTTAGAATTCCCACAAAACGGATCCTCCATCTCAACCTTCGACGATTACGAGTATTATATCTGACCACCGAGAACTGAAGAGCTGCCTGGACATGCTTATACGGGCGCGAGGCCAACAGAGCCACGGGCGGATCAAGAGACACCCAATTAACCCGCTTGAGCCGTCAGCTTTTCAGACCTGAGCCAGAACCGCACAGATGACCGGAAGACGACACACACATCACACACACCCCACACC